AACGACGAACTTTACAGGGCACGTCTCACCGTGGATCTCGACGCGAGCGGTGCATCGCCCGATTGGTGTGATGAGGTGCCCACCGGCGGTTCGTATTTGAGGTCCACCCCACGGCGTCGTGACTTTTCGAAGGCGGCGGGAGAGCCTCCCACTCAAAACTGAGTAGTCTGCTCCGGTGTCCACGAGTGCCGATGCGTCGTGGCCGTCGATGATGACGTTTAGGTTGTTGGACACCGTTTCAGGAGCGTCGTTTCGGTCTCCGGTAGCGTTCGAGTGGGGGCCCTCCGACGTTCGTGGAGGATCTTGGCGTCGGTCGTCTTCGGCAACTCCACCTCCAGGGGTTGCCGCGCCTAGTTTCCCCGGCGTGGAGCAAAGGGCGACAGGCTTTCACGTCGGGGTCGGTGCATCGGCGAAGCTGGACGTCGTGGTGAAGGCGATCGGAACTCTCGGCGGGACGCAGGCTCGGGGGACTGGGGTCGTCGCAAGTACTCGTCGATCTCCCGAGGGCGTTCACCATACCTGGGACGCGGGTCGCTTGGGTGGAATCCGCGCAGCCCGAGTCGTCGGTATGGGCATCGGCGGTACACATGGTCAGCTTCCCCGCAGTGGTAACACAGCGGGCGTCGGTCGGCCGTCCTCCAGACGTCTGTCTTCCTCGGCGCAGGTCGGTCTGGGTGAACGTGCGCTTGATCTTCCTGTCGTCGGGGGTAATGCGGCGTTGGGGCGTCTCTTCGGGGTGGCGACGTGGCTTGGCGGGGGGCTTGCGGCGGTCGTCGGGCCATTGCGGCGTAGCTCAACATCGGTTCCTCCGGTGCCACCGTGGTGACGGGAACCTCTGGTTGGAGCGCCCGATGCACTTCTTCGCGCACAGCCTCGGCAATGGAGAGTGTCGCTGGACGACTTGCGGCTGGCAGCAACTGGCGGAGTTCCTCCCGGACGACCTCCCGGATTATTTCGCGGATGTCCGTACCAGGTGCGTTCTCGCCGCCAAGCAGCGCGGTTGCAGCGACACTTGGACTTGGATGTCGCTGGTAGTGGGAAGCGCGCGATTGGAGGGCGCGCTCGATGTTTGTCGCCTCGGTGACGAAGGCTTCGACGGTGCCCGGCGGGTTGCGCACGAGGCCTCCAAAGATGTCGTCTCTCACCCCGCGCATGAGGACCCGCAGCTTCTTGTCGTCTGTGGCTCGTGGGTCGGCACGGGCGCTCAGGCGGAGGACATCTTCTACGAAGCTTGTGACGCTTTCGTCGGGGCCCTGCGTTCGAATTCGGAGGAGATCTTCTGCCTTCTCCCGTCGGTGTAGGGTGGCGAACGTCCGCTGCAACTCGGCCACACAGATGTCCCACGACGTAAGCGAAGCCTCGTGATTCTCGAACCAATGCCTCGCAGTACCCTCCAGCGAAAAGTAGAGGTTCTGGAGGCACTGCTCCGCAGTCCATCTGTTGTGGCGCGCCACACGCTCGTAGTGCTTGATCCAGTCTTCGACATCCTCGTGGATCTCGCCGTGGAAGGGTGTCGGCATACGGGGAGCGGCGGGCAGGTAGACGATGGCAGGAGCGGCGGGCGTCGGCGACTGGTTGGCCATCGTCGGCTTTGTTGGCTGCTTGGTCCTGGGCGGCAGAAGTTCGTGTTCCGGGGGTAGACCTCGGATGCGGCGACTTGACCGGGTCTCGATCTGGTCTTCGTCGGGTCCTCGGGATTCTGGGTCCGGACTTGTACTGCGGGACCTCGGAGGGGTACGCGGCAGGGGCATGCGTTACCCCGCACCTCCACCAGAATGTCACGGGTGGTGACCAATAAACAAGAAATGAACAGAAATAAATAAACGTTTAATGTGGCGAACTTGTGCCAAAAATAAAGAAGGAAACAGAAGAAAGCAGAGCGTCGCGGGCGTCGAAGTCGGCGTGTCAGCAGAATCGAGCGCTGGGGCGAGACTGACTCGACAAGGTCGCGGGCGGCCTCTTATCTAGAGTGCGTCGCTATCTCGAAGATTCGGCGAAAGCGGTTCGAGCGTCGCGTGATCGGGGCGAGAATGAACACGCACTTTCTAGAAAACAAAAGCAGGATAAATGATAGAAGTTACGGGCGGTACATGAATAAACGGGAGCTTTCTGGAGGACCGCGACCGAGCGTTGCTTTCTCAGCCTTGCGCGCGGCAATATGCCATCTTTCACGAGTTTTAAATGCAGTCTATATATTGTTGAAAAGCACTATTATCTGTAGTATTCCGAAGAGAATGCTACACTACGCAGTCGTCGGCATAAAGACAAATATTTGATGCCATGGCCTCGGTGATGTCATTTATGAAAATAAGAAATAGAAGCAGACCTAGAACAGATCACTGTGGGGCCACGGAAGTGACATCTGCATATGTAGACTATTTACTGTTGAGTATAACGCACTGTTTTCGTTCAGTATTTTACGTGCTTTACAGGACCTTGGAGATAAAAGTGGGCGGTAATGGACCTTTTTTGAGTAACGAGCGCAGTCTGTTGCGTCGTCAAATGAAGGGCAGCCCAATCTGACTCTGACCGTTAGAACACATTGGCATCGTGCCGTTGTATAGGTTTCCAGTGCTTTTTAAACTCCATACTATCGATTTCAAAAGACGATGCGTCAACATACACTAATTACGAGCGAAGATAGATGCTGACAATGTTGGTCGTGCGGGACGGTGCCCTCCGAAAATGGCGACAGCGGGAATATAGGCCTAGTGAGAGTGTATCTATGCGCAGAAGCTTACTGGAAAAGGACCTTTTTGCTTCCAGTCTATTCTTCGCAAAGCTTTGTGACGTCGTTAACGAGATATCAGTGTTGGCGTGGTCACAAGGATTACCCCTTGATGACGATTGCCGAATACGGCTCATGAACTACGAGCTTTGTGTGAGCACTCAACTTGATCTCGTGACAATCAACTCCTCGGCGACCAGTCTAGTAATGGCTCATGCCCACTCCCTGCGGTGACGGGAATAGCCGAAACCTAACAATGTCTTGAGCCCAGCATTTGCCCCGTGCTTTGCCAGCCCCAGTGCGTGACTATGATGAACATTAACACCATATAATAGATCTCTCGCAACATCGAAGCGAACCTAGCGGTGCAGTGCCGCGCAAAATATCTTGAGTATCTTTTGGCCACCGCTTCGGTTTCGATTTGCTAACCTCAATTCACGTTATCCCTTCGCGACCAAATACAGTGCGTGCATTTTGAATGTGTGATTTTCTTTAAATTTATTCGGTTGCGTACCAATATGAAGAGGACGCTGGGGTACATTTTTCGTGCACGACGTACAAGGGTTTGTGCGACGGCAAACAAAGGAAGAAGAATGGTACTGTGCCGATCATTCTGCTCCATCGTTTTAATATCCTATGCTTGTTAATTGATCCGTGACCCTCGGGGGTCATGCTGCACTGCGGAGAGGTAGCCAGACAGCTAGAATGGTACGGGACGCGCAGGCCTTACTCCTTCTCCACGCTAAATCTAGGCAGGTCCTTACGGCCAATGAGGGTTCATGTTTCAAGAGGGCTCTCACGAAGATGAGTAGGTGCAATGCAAACGAGCGCTAACTTTATTTTGATGCATTGCTGAGGTGCACTACTTCGTCAACGGGGCAAGCGAAATAGAAACCTCGCCACTACTCTCCGTGGCCAAAGATGTCCCATAATGCAACGCGCGCTGCGTTGCATGCACCTCGTTTTTCTTTCTTTGTTTCTGAGACTACAATTGAGTGCGGAGAGCAACTAATACGTGTTTCTTAAGCTATGAACGCCAATGACGAATTGTAAACGGTAATTAGTGAAAGCACAAAAATAAAAGTGTTCTGCCCCTTTAACCTGACAGGGAAGTGAACGGAACAGGCCCGTGCCCGTCTGCGCTCTAGCTCTGCTATGAAACGTGCTTTTTAGCGCAAGGGCTTGTTCTGCGAAGGTAGTACATTTGAAAGCAATGATATCTCGTGCTTGAAGCCTTCGCTGCTTTGTTACCTTAAGGGTGAACGAAGTATATAAACTAAGAGCTCGCACCCCCCCCCCCCTTTCATTTGTATTTTATGTCGTCCGTATGTTGTCTGGTCTTTACATGTTATGAAGCACGAAGGAATACCCACATAGACTGTAAGAACAATTCATAAACAAAATAGGCTGTCCCCACCAATGAGTATTACACTCAAGCCCATGCCAGTGCCTTAATTACCAACTTATCTCTTCTACTTTTCTACTTCTTTCGCACCACACTTGGCAATGTGATCAGTATTTTGAACTTTCATAGCACCAGACAATTATTGAGTATGTTGTCTCTGCTTGCCAATAGAGTAGTGTGCAGCTTGGGCTATAATGTGATCAAACACCGGAAGATTCTATTTCGCCTACTTTATCCTACCCTAGGCTCAGGACATTTATTTTAATCGTGGTCGTAAAGTGAAGAGATCTAAGCTGACGACTTAGCAGCATCAATACAACAAGAAAACTTTCCTACAGCTGGAGATGATAGCGCCTGACTCTTTGTTGCTAAAAAATAGAAAACAGCAATTTCTCAAATTACTGGAGATTACTGCATTACAGGACAACTATGGTTTGTAAGTAAGCAAACATTTAACAGCAACAGAAAAATTATGGGTGGTTTCGTCGACTGCAGTGTGTACGGGTAACGATAGTAATATGCCAAATCCAGGTACCTCTCATACTGATAAGATTTATTTCAGCGTTTATTAAATATCTATTTTTTCTGACAAGATTTGCACGCAAAATGAAAATATGGTATCGTTAAAAGCTTCTTCGCAACTTCCGTAGCGCAACTACCGTCGTGTAATTTGTTTCATAAAAAAAAACCCGAAAAACGTGAACTTTTTTATGTTCTTATTATCGCGCATTTATTGGTTGGTTTTTCGCTCACCGGCTCTTGCCATTAATCCTGTCTTAACTGCATTCATCATTTTCGCATCAGAGGCATGCACAACAGGCGACAGAAAATACGGTGACATCATTAATGATAAGCCGCGTGCATTACCTTGACCTCCCCTCCCTTGGGCTTGTGCTTGATATTGTCCAAGGAACCAATTTTGGAGCGGACGTTCTTCAGATCAGGCTTGGGGGCTTGGCCAACGGGAGCCTTGATGGGTGGCAGTTCTGTTAAAAAGTAGAAATACGCAATGAGTAAAACTCACAAAGAGCATTAAAATATAGACCGCATTTAACGGAAGCTCAGTTGCCGCGTCGCCATTGCCGTCGCCGTTAGCGTAGCTGTACAGCGCCGTAATCAGCTAAATTTTGCGGCCGAACGTGTAGCTAAACTAAGCAGGACGCGGCTATAGGTCCCGCACGTGGTTCCCGATGAATCAAGTCGTCACATGGCTGGTACCACTACCGGTCACGTGACCCGTACAGATCACGTGACCCTGTGATTCTATTCCAGCTCACGACCTGACGTACGTTACAGTCGTGACTTCACCTGACGTCAAAGTTTCCACAACGTAATTGAATCTAGTAATCAGGCACGTAGCCAGGAGTTTGCATCCGGGGGGGGGGGGGGGGGGGGGGGCGAGGCGCCCATGACAAAGTGCTTTACGAGGGAGGGTGAGTGGGAGATGAGGCCCCAACAAAAGGGAAGATTAGGGGAGATATGGACCTCCCCCCTGGATGCCTGCTAGTAACGTTGGATATTATGGCGTGATGTAGCATGACACCAGATCACATGTTCCCACGTCACCCCACAATGTCACTTGACGTGACGTCCCCCGATGCCACACCTTGAGACAGTGACTTTAGGTGTTGTGACATTTCCGCACTGCCCAGATTCGAACATAGAGCGTATCTGATTTTAATTGGAACGTATTTCTTAAAGTGTGTGGAGGTCACATATGGGAAATCTTTGCGATGTATTTATCACGCCCGGCGGACATTAGAAAAGTAAATATTCATCACGCGGTAAGTTGGCTCATTTACTCCAATATGGTAAATAATTCTTTTCATTGTTCGTTTCATAAGTCATGTTGAAATTGCAGTACCGGTGGAACTTACGATTAGGGGCTACACCAGTTTAGCCCCTTGAAGTTCGTTGCTCTACATGTAAGGCGTCGACTAAACAGTTGAAAATTCCCGCCTAAAAGCGAAACCCCATAGACCCCGGGAAGTTATGTTATCTGTTATGCCTTGAGCTAACTAAAAAGGTTAAATTTTCATCATGTTTTCTCTTGCCGGGGCTATTTATAGTTTCGAAACTAGACGTCCCGTGCACGGGATACGCGCGAGTAGGGACCCTTCGCGCGTCGACTACTCTGGCGGTAATGGCAATCGGTGTACCAACTCTTCGGATTCAGAGGATCTCTCAGATGTTGACTTTAGAGGCTGAATACTCGCCATCAAATAGAAAAGCTCGGTAAAGTGCCTTCAGTTCCGAGTCTGAGACTGCAGGAATGTCGCGGAAGAGGATACGCCAAAATCAAACAGAATGGATTAAAGGCGGCAACTTTTCGTCTGGTTGAAAAAACCCCGAGACTGCGGTAAACGACACAACACTAAAAAGTCTCTAAAAAACTTTTTAGAGACTTTTTTAGTGTTGTGTCGTTTACCCGCAGTCTCGGTTTTTTTTTTTTTTTTTTTTTTTTTTTTCAGCCATGTACAATGTACACCAGCTCGTTTGCGCCCTTACATTTTGTTAAACTTTTCGTCCTCCGTATTTCCACTCAGTACTTAAGCCCCCGGATATGAAAGCACTACACATGCTCCCGCTAGATTAAAAAAAAAACGAACTGTGCATTGATTTTTTTTTTTTTTACAATCTATTTGGAAACAATATTCAACCACTAAAACACGTCCTAAAAAAAAAGAAAACAGAACATTATTTTTTATTTTTTTAGGCCAAAGATTTTTGACGTGTATTTATCGGATCGGCTTTCGCGTTTTTGTCACCTTATCCGAAACTGGACGCGGAAAGAGCGCCGGAACTTCTGTTCAGAATGATGTATAGAAGTGTTACGTGGTCGATCGCGCACCACCGTAATTAGAGACGTTTAGTAGACCGCACGATAGAGTTCCGCTTTGCCACCGATAGCTCGTGCCGTCACTTGGATGTATGACTTGAGCACACGCCCGCTACACCCGCAATCCATCACGTACGGTCTACTGAAACTCTATAACCTCGGCAGCGTGTCCTTGGCGGATGCGGTTTCGTCGCGCTGCAGAGATAATGACGAAACGCCCGAAAAAAGTTATTCACTCCTCCAGGCCTCAATATGGACGGGGGTTTCGGCGCTCCCTCTGCGTTCAGTTTCTAAATCACTCGACAAAAACGACAAAAAACTAATCAATAAATTCAAGAAAAGTGACTGCTTGGGCTAATTGGTTGGTCCTTTCATACTCGCTCACAGGAACTTGCTTCCCCGAGAGCGAGATAATGCTGTACCCTGCGCATGCACTCTGGCGGTTGTATTGTGTTGTGTTTTGTGACGACGAGGGTTGGCCACAAAGACCGGAGCACGTTTCAATAAACAACCGTTGGAAGGTGCGCCTCGTTTGTGTCCTGTCCTCCCCTTCGCCCTCGTCTCTGCTGCGCATGCGCAAGTTTTATGAAATGATCAACACATATTTTAAACCCAGTTCGTATTTTTAAATTTTTAAATTAGTCTATCCTCCCATTGCAATTGCCGTCAATACAGCGGTTGCATCATGACCCATAAAACCGATAGCCATAAAATTGTTTAGACGATATTAGTCAATTAGCGAAAGTTACTGTCTCGTTTCTTCGCTAATTTATCGGCGACGAACCCGATAACAGCACCCCCCCCCCCCCTTTTCTTTTTTGTCTGTACGAATTAGAACGAAACACCCGGCAAATCGTTAGCCCATTCGGAACACGGGATGTTTGAACAATAAATTAAAGGAACGCCTTAATATATCTTCCTCACATGGTAACCAAATTGTATCCTATAAACTTGCAATATGCCATTCTTCCTTCAACCTCATAATACAGGCAAAAAGTCATAATAGAATAAGCATATATATATTTCTACAGTAACCTTATATAAGAAAACGAAGAATTCCATGTGAGAAATACAATGTAAATCATATCGTACAGTATTTTCTATCGGTTAAGTCACGACGGAGCGATGTGGCTTCGAACGCATTCCGGCAAACACGACACTGCCTAAGGCAGTTTGAAGGTTTTGTGGACCACTTTGTTCTCGTTAATTATCACATAGAGGAACGAAAACTGATGGGGCGGCTAGGAAGACAGGCACGGAGTTAAAACTAAATGCCGTTCTGACGTTTTCCTCGTTCATCCGGTCTCACTGAAGCCGCAAATAATCGCTGCGTGAGAGAAGCCTTACCCCCGGTGGCTGCACATTTCCTCGTGCTGAATGCATCTTAACAAAAAAAAAAAAAAAAAGGGCAGCCATTTGTTTTTTATGACGACTATTTCTCATGATTTACTATTAGTATTAAATTTGCGACCATTTTAAAATTACAGCATCGGACCGCGCCTACCGTCTTTGCGTTCAAGAAATGCCAGCCCAGACCGCCGCGTCCGGTCATGCACAGGGAGAATCATGACATAGTGGGACTTCTTCTAGCAACTATGATAATCAATAAAGACGTTGAATACTCTTCCTGATGATAATAAAGATCTCCTGATTTCATCCCCAGCCGTCATTAAGAGTGCGCGCGGTCAAAGTACTCAGACAGCACTACTTCGTCAGGACTCAGGACACACGGAACCCTAGTCTTTTGCAGCCAAAAAGCTGCCTGATTTCATTGGCGCATAGGATAACTCGGGACAATGTCAATAGTTTAGAAAATATAACTTGCATAATCAAAACTGTTTTTCATTCGGAGTTTCCAGCGCCCATGCCAAAGGGTCCGCTAAGTCGGTCGTCCCATTATGAGCAGAAAGTTTCACTGCGTTTCGCAGTAACCGTGCCGTTAGTCGTCCTTTTGAGACAACCCAAAATGTTTGACATCGTAAGCGAGACAGCCGAGCACGAAGGTTCGAACTGCAAGCAACAGAGTGTTCAATGAGTTTGTCTGTGGGGGGCAATGCACGCTTGTTAAACATTCTTACTGCGCATTCGTGGCGCGGTTAGATGCTTGCTCGTAGCACCAGCTATGTTTATAGGCGCCTTCATGCAGCTGCGCGTGGGTGTCGCCATAATCAAACTTCAGTTTTTGTTTCCTCTTATTCCGTTAGCTTCACTTCATTATTGCCACGGCAGGACAGGTTATTGCCATTTTAGGTTCTACTCTGTCCTTCTGAACAGCATTGGCCTTTGTGAAGGCTCGTCAACGCCCTCTTCAGTGGCTCGGAATCTCGGTAAGACAGGAGAAGGTCGGCGATGGCGGCTGAATCTGGCGCGTGTTGAAAGCGTCCCTACGCACGATTCGGCGTATAATCCGTGGCATGCTATTTCAGGCGATTTCCAAATGCCTGGATCTAAAATTTAAAAAAAAAAACCTCAAGGTACACCTAAGCACTTCTTGTGAGTTGTGAATGCGAAAGCATGAATGTCGTTCTTGCACGCGTCCTCGTGAAGTTGCCGCGCCTCGCTGACATATAGGCCGTGCCGCCGATCTGCACGGAATCGGCTGCAGGAATTGGCTAGTGCGCTGGCGGTGCGGGCACGCAGCGCCATGGGGTGGCGCTGATTGAAACTGACGCGCGGCGGCCTCCCTCGGCTTCATATGCTTGCCGTTGTGCGTGGCTTTTTGCGCGGCTTCAGAGCTGGGATGCCTCAGATAGCGGCTTCACGAATTTATTTTCCGTTTGGCAAGGCTGATGACGTCGGCCTGCACCATGAGACCCAGCTAAATCTTTCGCGTTAAAAAAGCGAGCAGGAATGTGGCCATGATAGGGACACGAGATAGTGGCAATGTGAGGTTTTGGCGTCCGTCCGGCTTTTATGTTAGGTCTGAAACTCTCGGGATTCAAACCGGCACTCTCACATCCCTAACAAATACACTTCGTTTCACCGCAGGTTCAAGCGAACATAACGGCTAGAATGCAGATAAACACATGTGCACCGACTGAAAGCGCGACGTCATATGAAGTATTCACTGAGCTTGAATGGTCTAGCCTGGGACAACACCAAGACGAACGCCGTGACGTAGTGCTATTTGGTGTGTTTTTTTTTTTGCCCCTTAGCTTGTGGCGTCGATCGCACTCTGACTTAACGAGAAACGAAGTATGCGGGTAGAAAGTAAGGAAGAGGGGGAGTGGAGGGCGCTCGGGGACGCCAGAACACCGAGCTCTAAGTGGAACGATTAGTGGGTAGAGGCACCGCTAGCTGCCTTTGTCTCCACTGCACTCGTCGAGTGCGGTAGAACGCGCAACGCCGGCGTCCGGCGTGTGGCATTCGCGCTTGAACTCGATCGAACAGTGCAGGGGAGACAAAAGCCGCCTTTGTTTTCACTACACTCGTCGTACAAGTTAGAACGCGGAACATCGGCGTCTGACGTCCGCGATCAAACGCGTTCCAAGAGTGCAGAGGCATACTGACAGAGACTAGCAGATCGCGAGGAGAAACGGCCGCCGAAATGGAAAATGGGGAGCGGTAGACAAGGGATGAGAGGAGAGCCACGTGACTGGCGCCCCGCTGCGGTGAGATACCGAAACACACTTCTCCCGAGCGAACAAGTCAGTTTCGCGTCCTCGCCGCTGCAAAAGCTGTGAGCAGACGTCCAGGTTCCCCGAGAAATGGCTCTTTGATGCTCTGTGCTACCAGGTCCTCGCTCTCCAAATCTGCGATCGGGCACTTTATGGCTCCGTCGTCGAACTGCCAGGCTTTGTGAGTATAGAGGAGGCTACGGCAGTGGAGACAAAGATAGCTTTGCGTGCACCCACGAATGCTTCCAACCAGAGCTCCGTGCTCTCGCGTCCCTGCGCACTGTCGTCTCTCCTTCTCTCTCTCAGTTTCTGTCCGGATAGATGCGAACGAGTGTTTTAGGGTTAAACCTATGAGATAAGCGAGTGGCGGCTGCCGATCGGTAAAACTGTATAAACTGCGACGCTCGTTAACACTTTAAGTGAATATAATTTGGACATTCGACAACAACGCAGTTACTAGATGTGTGGTGGAGCGATACAGGTGTTGTAAATCACTGATGTCGTTGCGACATTAGGTTCGGTATATACTGTCGTGTGCAATTTCTGGTTTGAACCCTCCACCTATTTTTTGCCTGTGAACGTTTTCCCCTGAAATTAAGATCTTGGGCTGTTTCGACACAAAGGTGAAATTAATTAGGTGCATAAGTGTGCCAGGATGTGCGTCTGGTGCATATGTACAGTACATATAGGGTAGGACCGTAAGAACCAGCTCATTTGGCACGCCTTGCAAAATTCGAATTCAGCACGTACATCCATGAAACTGGGCACACGAACGTCTCTCGCAAAAAAAGATTTATGAGTGTTTCTTAAGAGCTCAACTCAAAGCTAGCGAAATTAAAAAAAAAAATGGAACAATAATGGTGGTCGTGCATTTCTTATGTCCTATACCGGACTGCTCCTTGCCTGCGTACTTGTTGGCAAGTTTGCTTTTAGGCTGTCTGGTGAACGCAAAAACGATGAGAACGCCATAGAAGAGGCTGGTGGCAAGCAGGATAACCGCGATAATGACCTCATCAATATATACGAACGATGGTGCAGTTTCAGTTCGCATTTAGAAACAAGGAGCTTTTGCGCGTGATAATAGAAATCTAAATCAAATCAAGGTTTGTTTTATTTTATCGTCTGTTATTTTTTCTCTCCTCTCTGCGCCTTTTGCGCTCATAACGGATGCGCGAAAGAAAAATAGACGACAAAGGAGAACAAACGTTCGTCCGTTATAGAATTTATTTTTTATCAGACAGATACATTCGCTCATTTCCCTATGAGAACTGAAACTGCACCATCGTTGATATATTTCGTTAGAATTATTATTTATCGCGGTTACTTTGCTCGTCGCCAGCCCCTCCTGCGACGTTCTCAGCGTTTTTGCCTTCACCGCCCAATCGAAGAGCAGGCTTGCAAACCAGGTCACAGAAGAGCAGACACGCTCAAAAATTGTGTTGCTTGCATGTTTAGACAGCCTCGATGCCAGTACGCCTCAACGGGTGACGTGTCTCTTAGCTGTAGATGAGAGATTCAGCTAGCGCAGTGCAACCGCTAACCTGGGGTGTTTAACGTGCACCACGCAGTTGTGATTACACGAACGCGTACCGGTACGAAACTCATCCATATCAAAACGGGCAGGGGGTGGGGAGGGACCAGTCATTTGCTTTGTGTTGTGCAAAACAGGAGCTCTCTTCAGAACGTGCCCAAAGACCGGCCGGATTCCGTCCGATCGTCGAGTAGTGACTAGTCGACACTGCATATGGGATATGCTGTGCTATTCGAGATCTTCCTCAACTAAATCCTGTTCGGATAACGCAGCACCGCGGGGCACGTACAATATGTTGTTCGATTGATGAGACTCGTTGAATTTCATTTTGTGAGCGGAGAATACCCATCCAGTTCGTCTATCCTGTGTGATCCAATATTTTCGACAGTTAGGACACTTGTAGAATGACACGGCTTAGTGTATGGTGCCGGGAAAAAACCAACATAAAATGAAACAGATATTCCAGTTGCATTTGTTCTGTCTCGCACGGACTCACCAAAAATAGATTCATTTGTTTGTTTTTGTTTCCAAAAATAGTACAATGCGTTTTTAAAATCCCAGGAAAGTCTACTCGCCATAGAACAAAACAAAAAAAAAATAAAACACGGCAATTTAGCAGAAACCAGCGTCCGGAATTGCGCCTAAGCACTGTCGAGAAATGCCACAGCCCAGCGCAGTCAGGCAACGCTGACGTACACTCTCAAAACCAGGGACGCGCGCAGTGGATCACATCGTTTAAGACTGCCGCTGGAAAGGTCTATACCTCGCTTATCCTCCCGTCGTCCCGCCTGTTGTCATCGCGGTGGTCCCGTCGCGTCGATCAATGCATCTCGAGTTCATGTTAGCATCAACAGTGTATTACCCATAAGAATAAAGGAAAGGACACATAAAAGGACAAACACAGCGCTGACTTACACGTTTCTTCTTCTACTTCTTTCTAAGAGCAGAACCATAATACAAACAAAAGGAAACAAAGCACGTAAAAGCACCTTGGAAACCTGCGCTCATCACACTGACTACCCCACGAAGTGGTATAATTATTCGGTAGATAAAGGAACGGAAGTGGTGCCAATACACTTGTCAACGAGTCGCGCGATTTTGTCTGCCTCAACAATTTCTAGGCAACTAGAGGGTCGCCACCCCACACGAATACGGTGCTCTTTGTGAACTCGATTTTACAACCACAAACTCGGCAGTGAATTCCTGGGTGGTCAAAGACAGTTTTATTCCTGTTGTTATGATGCTCTCGCAGCCGATCGTAGGAGACATCTGCCAGTTTGCTCGACGGTTCATCATGCATCTAGAGTGTCTCGGGAAAGCGGCTAGATGCTGGTAATGAGGGGAACCCATAAAGGCGAGACGTCATGATTAATGGCTGTAATATATTGTCACATCACAGGTCTCGTCGAGTAGAGGTACGAAAATCTGTGTACCAAAATCTGAGCTTCTCAAATTATTTTCTTAGTCTGGAGAGGCCTTTTAAGAATGGCTCACGCACTCGCACTTCGTTGCAACTGAGTGCGCCAAAACCGTTTGTTCAACCTTTTGCGAATGTTTACGACCAGCTGCACTGCTATAAAATTGGGGATATTTAAAATGAGGTATTTTAATAGCAAGAATAAAAGGAAAAATTCCTGTGACCGTGCTCTTTGGATAGCCGTGTCACGCTCGGTAAGGTTGTACACTAAGCGACGCTCCAAGCACGAACAGATCCGCGCTTTTCGCATTTTACTCGGAAAGTGTATTGGAAGGCTCTCCCCCAAATAATCACTTATCACTTCACAAGTAGTCTTTAAAGCACCAGTCCTATTCTATAACAAAAAGAATAACCCAATCGGTGATTGCTCGTTAGCGCTAACAGTGCCGTGCTGTGTACATGGGGGCTGCAGTATGAGCTGGTCCAGCGGCGTTCAGGCCGGGGCGTCACAAAAGCAAACCCGGGAGGCCCCAAGTACGTTAACCTGGGACAAACATAATTCGGAATAGACTGAAGTAATGCCTGCTATCGGAATGCGGCAGTCGGTTTCATGGCCTCGTGTGGGAGGCGCCCAGTGCGGCGTTTTAGCTGTTCGGGCTAGCACCAAACTGGTCCAGCTCATATTTACGCTGACTGTACCTGACTTCATTTCAGGTACCTCCCGCTCAAAGGGCTTAGACGTTTTTCAACACAAATCAATATTCCCCGAAAACCATTATGTCGAATAACCCGTAAACCACTTATTGCGCTGAATTTTGCTCGGTTTTCTAAGTCACTGTTTAATAGTGGTGGGCTTACTTTTCTGATCGGCTCCAGGAGTCCGCGCGGTCTTGGATGGAGACGTGACTTCATTTTTGGGCGGGGCTGCTGACTTTTTCGGGGACGGGCTGCCTTTGTCCGGGATGCTGGTGGGCTTCTTGGGGGAGCCCGGTGCCTGCACGGACGGGAAAGGCGGGTTTCGGTTTCAGGATGCATTCACAGTGCTGGCATCACTCGATGACCTTTTAGAAACGGTGTTTTAAAGCGATGGCGATTAGTATTCCTTTCCATTTAGTATCCTCTATTTCTGATATCAGACAGGCAGGTTCCCCAGCACACTTAAGATAGTAAAGCGATGCAATACTGCTCCCATTGTAACCGTCCAAATAAAGACTGATTTTAGTGCGAGTTTGAAATGTTGCGAGAGGGCTTCCTGCGAAAGGCGAAATGTCAGCGCTCTGGCCTGCGGACGAAGGCAATATTATCCCTTTTACTTACGTTCCCTTTAACCTTGCAGTCGAAATTTTGTCTCTTTTAGACAAAGTTAACGCAGAAACTTTACGTCACGTGTTGTGCCCAGATTGCTGTAAGTGCAGTTTCTATGACTATATCTACCGATTATACGGAACAAGCTTTTCCGTTTTCCTTCGATAAATAATTTTTGAAAGAAACAAGTTATGCCTGGTTCATGCATATGAGTCGGTCGCGTTCTGGGCAACTTAAAAATTGCTAAGATCGATTCGTCTCCTAAAGTAAATATGTTGTACGTATTTCTAGACAGCGCGAAGTTAGTCTTCCCCAATTGGCGTATAATGTCTCTGCCGAACATACGAACTTTAACCAGTGCAGTACGACTGGGAGCCTGGGGTCTTTAACATGCCGCACGCAGTAAAAATACGCGACCGCAAGCCGGCGCTAGCACTAAAACGCCAATGACAGCAAGGCGACCGAACGACCGACAGGTCGTACGACGCGCCAGAACGATGACCGAATTCAACCATGTGCTGGCCAACTAGAGCGTCAGGTGTCTTAACGTGAAGGCGCGTGTAACTCTAAAAACACGACACATGAACGACGGAACGTCCAACGGGTCGTACAACGTGGTGGATATATGACCAAATCCGGCCGGGCACCTGCCAATGACGACGTCCCTTATCCAATCATGCGCCGGCCAATAACTTTGTAACTTGCGCTCACGTGGCACCGTATAGTGCCCGGAGCGTGATCGGATTCGACCATCCTTCCGACGTGTCGTGCGACCCGTCGAACGTCTATTGTGAATGTGTCTTGCTTGGAGTTGGGTCGAATTCAGCCATCTTTCCAACACGTTGTACGACGCTTCTAGCGTTTCGTACTGATTCTGCCTTGGGTCTTATAGCCGCGCTGGTCTCCGGCGTACGGTTTATCGGATAATTCGGTTGTTGAGATATTAGCTGAATATGAACCTGAATATGGATACCGTTTATGATCTTCTTTCCGAAAAAATGCAATTGGAAATTTTCGTGCAATCCTACTCAGATAAGTTATTTTATGTTCGCTCACTTTCATGCACTGTGGCTTGTATCTTTACGAAATTTTTAGACCAATTTTGTGCACATCAGTAGTGCGAAAACCGAGTAAGCATCGATTCTATATATAAGCTAAACACAATCTGAGCACAAACGATAGCCCGCTTCGTGAAACAGCGTCTCATTACCCAGGTTTGCCAACATGACAACATCAATTTGCAATAATAAGTTAAGAACGACACTGCGCGTTCTGAAGTAGTATGGACAGATAGACGCGCGCAATTGAAATGATCTTCATCCTCCGGTGTCAAATTTTGGTCTCTGAAGAAACACTAAAATAATTCTTGAGTTCGTCCTATTGTACGGTAAACAATTATTCAACGCGCTCTTAGCGTCCCAAAAAATTCAACATGGCGGTCGCGCGCTGCCTATTTTTCGCGGTGAACACTTTTTCTTATATACAAAAACGCCCGTTTTGTGCGCAAAATGGGCCTTTTGTGGGCGATCTTTGATAGCGTTCCTAATAAACAAATAAGCCGTGTATAATCTTAGTTTTGGGTTTCTAGGGCGCGTAAAGCGCGTAGGGTGAATTAATGATCGTTAGGCGGTAGACTGGCCGGTGTTTATTTATATGGTGAATCGGCGGATATTTTTCGATATCCCGACTAATTTCGGTTAGCTGCTTCAGAAGGACACTAAAATCGGGTTTAATATTTGTAAATATTTCGCGAGTAATTAAATGTGCCAGTCTAAGGGGAAGTGTTTCAAAAAGTTATAGATGCAACGAAAATTTCCAGAAATTTGTGTTTTTCAGTTCGAACCGTTTTTCTGTTTCTGACACCAACGAATGTTTAGTGATGTTTTTTGTTTAATACCATAAAGCCTCTGGTCTCATCAACACGGAAAAAGATGCACTCAAGACCGTTTTTAGTGCGCCTTTAAAAAGATCGAGCGTGAGGGCAACAGGTTAGAGGCACCAAGAAAGACACAAACCTAAAATGACTTAGCGCCTTGTCCGTTACTTTTACGGTTTTCTTCCTTTCTTCCTTGCTGATCCTTGCATGAGCACTTTTAAATCCATACATGAAAGCGGGGCATTTCTTATAAAAACAAATACGTGTCCGTTCGAAGCTTTCCGTGATAGTAATTACGATTCCAATTTTTTTTTAATATATAAACGCTGCAGATTATTTTTTTGGAAGTAGATTAAGCATCTGAAAAAATACACGCGGTGTTTCTAGTATGTACTTATAAATTAACTAGAACATGTTAATTTACTATTTAGTACAAGCAAGCTTATACTGGCAGTTAGAAACTTGCTGAACTTTTTCAAAAACTACTAAACGGTCAAATGCAAAAAGATTAAGTGCATTGCGCGTGCTTCGCTTTTCTGGGGCTCGAGAATGCAACCAACTTCGACGCGTCGGCGCGGTTTTTAGGTCTCAAATCACGCGCGCTTTAGCACCACCAGCCTTGCGCCTGCAGCACAAGTGGTAAATTGAGCGCACCAGCGCACTTCCCATACGCTTCAAGTATTTCTAAAAAGGACTAACGCAGTAGTTTTTTCATGCCGCACAGGAAGTTTCTAATTCAAATAATATGTTTATTTTCATTATTTAGGTAGTTAATTGACGAAGTGACAAATTTGAGCTAATGACCCTACTTATCGCGACAACTAGCTTCCTATGCTATGTGCCCCTGGCCGTATAAGGCAGCTGCACTGACCGCATTGCGTTGCTTTCACGAATTTTGTTAGCAAAAATTGTAATGCATGTAAAAACACACTATATATTTTTATGTTATATGATATATGAGATAAAGTTGTCCTATACCTTGCGCTGTGTGTTGTTGTTTTTGCCTGTTCCTGTTACATAGACTTCAAATGACTAAGAAAAACTACGATAAGTTCGCTACTTTTTTTACTTGTACAAACAAAGTACGACAACAACAACAACAACAACAACAACAAAAAAAAAAAGAAGCGAACTCCTTAACGCGGGCACATACGCGTGTGGGTACTAAATATTATCGTGAATATTATTGAGCGTATCGTTGCCGCTGAACACTCTATGAAATGCTTACTTTATCTTCTTTTTCCCCTGACTACACGATAGATGGGTACTGAGAACGACATCGTTTGTATTAGAGTCTATTGAATAATGTGTGACACCATTTTCTTCAACACAACAAAGATGTAACTTTTTGAGGTAACGACAATAAAAAAAAAATTCGAAAAAATAATATCAAGACTTTCCGGAAAATGGTTCTTCTTGATAAATTGACAATTTCCCGGCGGATATCAAAGACCTTCACACAAAATTACATCTAAAATCTGGAGCTTTTTACAGGGGGGATTTACTGCCCTGTAACATAAGCATCTTCCTAAAATGTCTCTCCTCTTTTGCAATGCCGTAAGAAAAACACGAAGCATTCGAAAAACATTTTTTATAAAAAAATATTCGACGACGTAAACAAGTTCTCGCAATAAAGTTGAATCGTGTTATCTCGCGTAAAACAAATCTCAGACACTAATATATCAATCTTCGTTTTACGCTTCTATAAGCATCAAAGATCTCCGTTGATGGGAATCAAGGGTTTCATTTACCCACTAATTAATCCAGTCACGTTCTAGGTTGCCAACTGGAAACATAATTAAAAGCAGAAAAAACAACTTCAGTCAAATTGGGTATAGCCATGCTTCTCGTTTCTTGACGTTGCGCCATAGCCTCGAGGGAATCAACGTTGCGCAGCTTCACTAGATTAACATCACAAACCTTGAAAACTTACCATCAATCACGTTTTAAAGTTTATCCTTCGATAATTTCTATATCTAGAGGCTATACGCCTAAATAAACCACAAAGTAGCCGAGTATGAACACGGAAAAGGAACGGTACCTTTGACTTGGCATCTGAAGTGGCAGGTGGCTCTGAAAAAAACAAAAACGAGCAGGAAAGAAGTTTAATTTTATCGTCTCTTTATCACCGACCAAGAACACCACCAACCGTGTACGCTCAACCTCTTATTGTTTTATATCTCGATACGGGTCTCCGATTTACACAAAAAACCTGAGGGGCACAGAGGTTATGATCAGCCCATTGTTCGAGAACGTACATTATGCCACCAGTGGTGAAGGAAAAGAGTTAGCCGATTTAGCGTTAGTTGTGCTTAGCGTTGGTAGTTACGGGAACTAAAAAACAGAAAAATTATTTTGTAATGAGAGCCAATGCAACCGCGTGAATGTAAATCCTTTTTTTTTTTCAGGTAATTAGTGTTATGTTTCAAAGCAAACAATATTTCTGAATCGTTGTCAAAGAAAAAGAGATCTCGACAATAATTTTTACGCCATTAGCGCGATGCCCATCGTCGTGCGTCCATGTTATTAGCGTTATTTCATATACAAACCTGGCTGACCCAAATTACTCCTGCGATATAAATCTCGAAAGAAAAGTTTCAGAAGCGTTCCGAACCATAATGTCCGACGGGTTTTCCTTTCTCTTGGAAGAATCATACACTGGGTGTCTTTTTTTTTCTTTTTTTTATTTTGCTAAAAGAATTTTTTTTTTCGTGTAATTAGATTACGAATCGCAGGGTTCTGAAACTCCCTGACAACGTGACGCTAGCGGTTTGGATAGAATGCGACAGTTTGAGGACACTACGTTACCTGGATGAAAAGATAAAAAAAAGGAAGACCATATCTTCCCATGAGACAAGGTTCACCTTAGCCTAATATCGTAAAAACAGGAAATGACATTGCGGGCACCACCCGCAATGTCATTTACAAGGGTGTATTTTAGTTTACAAAAAACAACCTTGTAAGCAAGAAAGAAAACGATATTCTCATCCTTGCCGCCGTCTTTTTCACTGACAAACGCCACAACGCTACATCGTCAGCTCCTGTTATGACGGTATAAGGCTTAAGTGGACATGGTTTCATATATAAAATTTGGTCTCTATTTTATCTTTTTATTCGGGTAAGTTTATGTCCTCAAAACTTCGACTTCTATCTGAACCGGTAATGTCACATTCTCACGGAGTTTCAGCTTCCTGAAATGCGTCGTTTATTTACGCAGGCCGAAAAAAAGAACTATTATTTTCCTCAAAAATGCTTGGCACAAAACACATTGAACATAGGAGTAATGATTTCATAAAAAGTCCATAAAGAATTTCTCGCGTACTTTACGACATTAACGAAGTTTTTGTAAATTTAGATAGCTCTTCCAAAATCTTTTTTTCTAAATGATGTAACCTTCTTCCAGGCTGTACTTTTTAATTATTTTATGGCACTAATTTTTTTAAGTGTCCGAGAGCTGGTAGTGAACAAAAGGTTAACACAGATGTTTCCAGCAAGTGATTAAACTTATACTTGAAAATAAATAATGCACGTTTCCTGAAAAGGGCATAAAACGCCAACAATAATAAATATGTATGGCTAATTTAGTTTGTTAAAGCGGCTGGCCCAACCCTGCGGCTCCGAATGGAACTCTACACTTTAGGGGAAATCTGGCGACGCCCCAATTCACTGCGCATGTGAGCTATGCGCGGATATAGACGGAAAGACACAAAAGTTGCTGAAACTGACAAAATTCATAACAGTGCAGTTCATAACTGAGAAAATAGGCAACCCCATGAAGAGGGGCAGTGCAACAACTGAGCTGCAGCAGAAGAGCTCTCTGTACCTAAGACCATGCGGTCGTGCCGGTTCCTTTGTTGAAGTAATTCCCGCATCTTGACTGCGAGTTATGTTAAAAGTTCGCTCAAAGACCCTGTCAACCTTTCCTTGTCCCGGATCTCGAACAAGCACAGTCAATAAAATGGTATAACTGACCTTTCAAGAGCCACCAATTTTGAAACGGTAACGACAACGAAAAAGGAAAGATGCGCGCCTCTGCCGGCTCCATTTCATCATAAGCCCGACTACGCGAGAGAACAGCGAGTCTCTCAAAAGTCCTTCAGCAAATAGGCGCAGCGGAAGCGCTCTGGGGACACCATGACCTTGTCCATCGGCGCATCCGCCCACGCGCGAAACTTATGTTTGCCCCTAGGAGAGCATCAGGCACGCACGACCTCCGGCCGTGCGCGCCACGTTGGCCACGGTGGGACCTCTACCAGCGAACCCACCTTTCTTGTCAAGCGACCTGGGTGGGACCTTGCCTGTCGCCCGCTTGCTGGGCGATTTAGGTAGGCTTGTCTTCTTCTTGACTTGCGGCGGTTCTGCAGTAACCGAAGCTGCAGGCGTTTCTGCAACCAGCTCTTCGCACACAGGTGCAGCTTCGACTTCGGAAGGGGCTTCTTCGATACCTGGCTCGGCACCTTGCTGCTCCTCGGACGCTGCCTCCTGGATTACGCTTCCTGTAGTTTCCACTTTATCGACATCTTCAGCTGTTACCGCGGACAGTTCACTTTCTGGGGCTGCCTCTGTGTCAAGCACGCTTGCTTCTGCAGCCTGTTCCCCTGAAGGAACTGCTAGTTCTTGACCTTCATCAGGAGCTTCGGTTTCATCTTGCTTTTGTGCGTCCGAGTCTTCGGTTGTTGGCAGTACGAGTTCATCGGATGGTTCAGTAGCTTTTTCGTCATCTGTTTTCGCAGAGGCATGCTGATCTTCCGTTGGGGGTTTAGACTCTGGTTTTAACTCACCATCATCTTTGGATTTGGAGTCTATTTCATCTTCTGCTTTTGTCTCAGCTCCATTCTGCGCTTCTTTTCCTTCGTCGACTTCAGAAACTTTGACATTAGCATGGTGTTCAGTACCGGTTTCTGCTGTCTCTCCTCCTTCATTCGTAGCAATCTCTGTCCTGGTGTCAATTGAATCCACCGTTTTGTCCACAGGGCTGACCTTCCTCTCATCCTTTAAGTCTTCAACTGTCACCTCATCTTGGAATGACGCAATTTTTAGTGGTTCAATTGTATCCACTAACGACTCCTTCTCTGAAGCCTCTGTCATGCCCTTTGCTTCTGATGTTTCTTCTTCTTGTACATTGTTTGCTTCTTCAACTTCCCCCTTAGTTGGCGCGTCTTGTGCGGACGCCGTTCTTTCAGTTACCTCGTCGCCAGTCACGGCTCTTGATATATCTGCCGGTTCTTCTTCCTCCCGGACATCCTTTGAAGACTTGTCTTCTTTTAAGACGTCTTGGGCAGTTTCTTTTTCTTCCGTCGACTCGACTTCTTTGTTCGACGGCGATGCGTCGGCATGCCCGTTCTTGTCCGGTTGGGGAGAAGCAAGATCTTTGCATCGATCAGATGTATCCTCCTTTTTGCGTGACTCGTTTTGGTTGTCCCTGCTTCCCGGTTCCAAATGCTCGGTTCCCCCAGGCGATGTAGAAACGAGATTTTTTCCTGGTTCGTGTTTCAGCTCCTCGTTCTCGCCGGATTCCTTCACGTCAACCTCCTTCGCGTATTTCTCGTCCTTCTCGTCCTTCTCTTCCAAGCCCTTTTCCTCGTCATATTTTTCGGATTTTCTTCCTTCACTTTGATTCGACTCAGTCTTATCCGAAGAAAGTTTAGCTTCTTCGCTTTTATTGTCTTTTGTGGCAGTTTCGGGGTGTTCCAGTGGCACCAATTCGGATTCTTTTTTCGTCTTCTCGGGTATGTCGGCTTTCTCTCCCGTTGCGGAATCAGACTTCTCAGCTTTTCCCGCTTCTAGCCTCCCTTTTTCTTCAAAGTCCAATTTTGATTCCGATAGTCTCCTTTCCTGTGCTTCTTCGTTGTCCCTTTCTTTGCCCGTCTTTTCGCTGACGGTCGGTTTACCTTGAGTAAAAAATCTCGATTTCTCTTTTTGATCCTCATGTTCGCTGCATTCACTCGTTGGTTCGGGACCTTCGGCATTCTTTGGGGAAGGCAGCTTTCCCTCAAGCTCGCTTGTTGCTTGTTCAGGCTTCGGGAGACCTTGAAGAGCATCTTTTATTAATTGTTCAGATGGCGATCCTCTTTTATCGGAGGCCATTAGCCCTGCTGCCATCTCGATTTGTCCACGTTCTAAAGGGGAATCGGCGCTTTCTGGAGTCAGAGCGTAGAGCTGCGCTTTGATCGCCTCTTCGTCAATTATATCGCTCGGTAAGTCAAGTGCTGTCGGCAGTTCGCTGGTTTTTACTTTCGGAGCACCTGTAGGAATGGTCGGATCCGTTGTGCCCGTGTAGCACGCTTGCTGGGGTCGTATCGATTCGTCCACCTCGACCTGCTTCGATGTTTCTATTGTTGTTTCAAGGGCCGGTTCTGCTATTTCGTGCTCACTGAGCAGGCCGTTTGTCTTGGAGACTGTACCTGCGGTCTCTTCAGGGAGCTTTCTTTCAACCGTGGCCGATCTTGACGGCTTATCGTACACAGCGGGAGGAGGAATGGAAGATTTAGGCCTGGTATCTTGCGGTGCTGGTTCTTTGTCTTTTCCGATGCTCTCCGCCGGCTGTACATTTGTTGCATTACTTTGGCCTGCCCCTTCATCTGTGTAACCTTTAGCTTCACGAGTCCTTAAGGATCTACCGTCCGCTAGCACTGTCGTTTTTAGGGGAGCGTGTGCATTATCCAAGTGCGACTCCATTTCCTGCTTTTTCTCCGCGCTCTGGTCCCCATTGGCTTTGTGATACCCCGCGTCACCACCCCCTATGTGACTCGGAGAAGACTCAACATGCTTCAGAGATTCGACAGCACTGGGGACGGTTGATTCCCCGTGACCGTTTGTGCTAGTGACTTTGTTTTCCTCTTTGGTATCGCCTTTTGTCGTGGCTGTAGATTCGCAAACGGAATCGCCTCCCCCGCCGTCCGTTAGACCAGACGACAGTTCTGGAAAGACCTTCTCGGAATCGACCTTATCAGATTTGGCAGAATAGCTGGTTCCTTCTCTTTCTCGCTCATGCGTGCTGGGAGAGCCTGTTGAAGAAGGCACTGCACTTTCCGCCCTAGACGCCTGCTGATTTGTCAATGCCGTGCTCTCGTCCCTTGATGTCGCTTCACTGGCCATCGCAGTCCCGTCCGCCGCAATCCCACATTTTTCTGGCACTTTGGTGGCGACGCTTTCAGGCTTTGGATATGTACTCTGGGACGACACTGAAATGTTGCTCTTTTCTTCGGTTGATTGTGGTCCTTTGTCTTCTTCCCCTATTTTGGCATCTGCACCTTCGCTGCTCAAGTGAGCAGCCGACACGGTTTGAATCGTGCTCTGGCGCTCTGTCGACGAACCGGGCGTCTTGGAATCCCTTGAAGCTGCACTGTCAGATTTGGGGATTGCACCTGACAACTTGGCGGCAGCCAGCGGCGAAACGTCATCGTTGGAGGGTTCCAGACCTGCTACTGAACTGGCTTCAGAATTCGCCGGCTTTGCCTGAGACTTCTGCTTGTCGTCGTTGCTCACTGCTGGCTCGTCGATCTGTTGAGGGGCATCGGGGCCGCTAGCTTTGTCCATGCGGCGGGGGGCTCTGTGCGTGGAAACAAGGGCATGCTGCGTTAGAAAAAGACGGTGCCCCGCATCGGTCAACATTCGGGTTGCAGATAAGTGACTCGATGCGACCGCCGTAGCCAGGGTTGCCTTTCTCTCCCCGTGATGAAAGCCATATCATCCGAAATATTATCTACAAAGACCAAAAGGAAAGGTGTTTTACACACGATGCTTCAAATATTTTCTTTTTCCCATCCAGAGTAACGACTCAACGTCGCCTTCTAAGAGGTGTGGGCAACGCAGAAAACCAATGATATTCCCTTCTTCCCGAGAACAGGTTCCGTTGTGCATTATTTAAGAGTATGAATATCGCGGGCAATGGAGCTGTTTTCGCTTCATTGACCTCGCGGCTGCATGGCTTCAGACAGAAAATTATATTCTTGTTCGCATATTACTTGCACGTTAGCCCCTCTTAGATCTAGAGGCTTTGAGGCAGGAGCCAATGAATACGGCTAACTAATATGGCTAACGCACTACATCCTGTGGCCACACGATGGGCGATGGGGAAAGCACGGGTGAGGTATCCATCGTAGCGTAAGTCATTAATAAAACCTTTTTTTATTATTTGTCTTCACATTGTAGCAGCTGAAACTCTTAGTCACTTTTTCAGTGAATTATTCACTTTGTTGCCTACATTTTATAAAACGCACCAAGTTTTAATAACGAAATTTTAAAAAGCGGAAAGGCAGTCTGCCTTAGAATGGCGTCGGATGTTTTTTCTGTGGGGAGGCCATTTCGATAGGGTAATTAGGAAATCTAGATTGAGATGCTCCTATATATATATATATATATATATATATATATATATATATATATATATATATATATATATACATGCAATAAACTCCTAGCATAGCAACTCCGCAAGTACGGATCTCTGACTTTTTATATATATATATATATATATTCGGCTCTGCCAATAGCTGAACTCTCCACATCTGCCAGTCGAGTGTTTTTATGACTAGACAAGAAAGTACAAAAGTGGACCTACTGCTTTTGGTGTTTTTCTAATGACCCTTCCTGACACTTGATAGCATTTTAGTAAAATAATTCTGAGTTCGATCTTTGGACCAGACCGTTTGCATATAAGTGGGTACAATACCGGGTGGGCAGTTACGCCATCACCACTGCGTGACTCCCGTTAAAGGTCGGTCCACACATTCAGCTCAACGTGGACTTAGTGTGGCATTGTGTGTGCACACTTGGAACAAACGGGCCACATGGAGATCAGCGCTGAGACTGCGCTGACACATCGCTAAGTCAGCGCTGTGTCTATAACCCTCAATTAGCCCTGTGCTGTATGTGCGAGCAGGCCTTTAAAAATCCCAGTATCGCGATCGCATTGTAATGGCTAAATTGCTTCTTTTTTTTTTTTTCAGCACTGTACTGGTTTCTTTATTTATTAATATTGTGGTGTCTAAATAGTAATAGCGCCCAATTGGCCCCTGGGAGTATTTTGAATTAGAAGCAGATCCTCAATGTTTGTATGTGTAAATTACGATTGAAGTTTCTTAGCTGGAAGAACAAAAGCCCGACAACATAAAAGCACGAAAGCATACATCGCATGCCAGTCATCTCCATACGAACCGCTGTTGGACGGGAGGGGTAATATCACCAAGGTCTTGAATATATCCAACAAATAAAGACAGGGTTCCGCTTCTGAGCACCCTACGTCTGACTAGAAGTCATACAGCGTGTTCTTTTAGATAATGTGTGGAATAATAAAAAGCACAGATAAAATAGTTTACTACCAACTGAGGATGAATTATATGGTACAAATTTCTCACGCTTTGCTAGGTTCGAAAATCAAATATTGCCATTTGGTTTCGGGACAACGCAACTAAAACAAGTATAAACACACTGATTACTCTATTGTAAAAATCGTTCAGCCTTTCCACTCTTGTGAAGAAGGAAGACCGGCGGAGCTGTACTCAATACACTGTGTGCTTCTTCTTCGTCGGCGTCTGTTTTTGGCGCTGTTTCTTACGATGAATTCTCACCAACGCCCCTAACTATCCATTCTTCTGTTATAGCTGGAAAGGTTACCGCCATCTACGAGCGATGGCGGAAATCATAATAATTGTGTGCTTGCCGCCGTCGCTTATAGATGGCGGTAGCTGTTCAGGTAGGTTTGTGTCAACATACACGGACACGACCCAGGGGAACCTAGCCTTTAACAGCTCCACTGTGAAAAAAGTTCTGCGTTTCACTGAAATTGTTCTCTACGACGCTAGCGCCGAAATATTATCTTTAAGCCACAATGTCATAAAAATTGCCAGTATTACTGACTACCGCTTATTGCGTTCTTATTTATTTTCTAGAGCTGAGTTTCTTGCTTTTTATCAGATTTTTACCAGACCCTACGCGAATCTGTTATCAATATCTGGAGCTAGAAATTTGGCATCGTTCCTCACTTTCGTTACAATTATACGTGTCCATCGTTTTTGTTTTATAACCTGCCTACCCTGCTCATGTAATTCATTAGTGATGGGATTAATATTCATTATTTAAATGAAAAACGTAGGAGCTTATTTTGACTAGAGAAATAATAGCATTGTTTCATTTGTATTATCGAACCATGTCCCGCGCGCGTAGGGGCACCGGGCCCAGCCAAGCTTTCTCTTGGAAGCTTTTACTCCCGTCCCCTCAGCACAGGCTTGGTGTACGTGAAGTTCAAGCCTACGTTCAGGTTCAGGCAGAAAAAGTTATTCGGAGCAATAAAACTAAACTTAATAAAGGTAAAATAGAGACGTTGATCACAATACTTCCTCAATCTGACCTGAAACGTTTAATTCCCTTATCTTACAAATAAATAGTGTCTGTTTTCACAAAGCTTTTTCCACAGTGTTATGCACAAAGTGTTTTCTGTGCAGCTCACAAGTCTTCTGACAACAAAGCTTTCGAACGTTTTATGAAAGTTATGAGCCTTCATGTTGGTGACGACCCAAGCTTTATCTAATTTGTCATTATTAAACCACAACGAAAACCACTTCATTGAAATATTAAAAAAATAGTATCGTACCCGACAGCCTAAGAACCAGCTGAAACAGGAACACTGCCACTAGAAGTAATGTACAGTAGAGTGTCCGCCGGCGAACAAAGCTTGCGAACATGAAAGACGAAATCAATCTGTACAGACGAGCTTTCATTAAGAGGTCATCGACCGCGCACAACAGCCAGGACAATGCGTGCAGCACCGAGCGCAATTGAATGAGTGTTCGGAGTCTTGCCATTGCCCGCTCCAGTCATAATCGATTGGCAAGCCTCAAATAACCCATCGGGTGAAGGTTATTTGAGAGGCTACCTGCGAACACTGCCATGCCATGGTGGCGTCGCCTCGTCACATATCCACGTCATTGGTACTAAAGAATGACCATAAAATCGTCATTCATTATTGCACACCACAGCGGGAATTCGGAAGTCTCAAGTGTCCTATACAAGTTCAAGTGTCACTGCACTCCCGCCTGTATTTCCACTCTAATAAGAAATCTGTCGCGTCTACCTTCCTTCGAAGCACTTTCGTGAGTAAACGCTGCAATCTAGAAAGGGTGCTCGGCGAATGATGAGGCTTGATGTACGTTTAGAACTTTAACAAAGCGGTATATGCTGCAGCACCGAGCATGATGTAAACATATGAAACAACACGCATAGTGACACTATACAGACTGTTTGCTTTTTTTTTAGCTCGAAAGTTGTTACCTATTTTTAGCCGCATCATTCCACGTAGATTTTAGCGATTGGCTTTCCCAACCGCTTTATGGGAAAGCAGACAGCTGATTTCTGAGAGTGTACGCTGTCACACTATACACACGTCTCTGCTTAAGATATAAACATAAAACAAGACAATTATACAAATACAAACACAGTGAAAACACATGATAAAACTTAAGGTTAAAGATGGTAATGTTTTTATTTTATTTCATTTTCAACATGGGCCAGTGCCAATGCAGTAATCAAGAAAATAATGGTACACTTGGCTGGTCTCTGTGCTCACGTCGGGACGATCTGGATTTTTACTCTCTACCAGACTGACGTGAGCGAAATTTGCCATATTCCAAACTTCGTGGTTATAAGCTCTCAGTTAGAAAGAGGCAGGTATAACGCGGATATATGATGGGTCTCTCGGTAATTATTTCTTATTTATTACCTGAATATGTCGATAAACCACGAATCATTTCTGGGCGTGTAAAATTATAGAGTTAAAAATCAACCGACCATTGATGTCATCACAAAAATAAAAAAACAAGAAGGAATGGGAGAACAGTAATTTTTGTGGCACGGGAGAGATATGGAACAAATTCAGGAACCTCCATTAACATGAAAGATCATTTCAATGATAAAAAAAGTACTCGTATATGAGAGTTTGACACAACTGTTGGCGTGAGTTATTTCTAACCGAAAATAACGTGGAAAGATTGTTACGGGAAATCTGAATTATGAATGTTCGAACGCCCATGACGAAAGCAAGTATCTAACCCTTTAAACAGGTGTACTCATATTGCGAATGATGTAACAAATTCCTGCTACGCTCTACCGCGACAAAAAATAAATTGAAAGCTCACTATAACGATTTGGTTAGGCCTACATTTACAGTTTCAAGGAACTAATTGCAAAACAATTTTTGTTCGAACATAGAAAACAAAGAACACGAGAAAGAAGGCAGACGAGAAATTTTACAGGAAAATAAAGAAATAATACTATAAATGCAATGTAAGAGACGTAAAGTTTCCCATTTTAAAATTTTCTTTCATTGTCGGAAGCAAATTAAGCATTCCAAGGAAACAGCAAGCGATTTCGATAACTGATTGAGCTATCGGACAGACATAGAAAGATTACAATTTAACGAAGCACTATGGTCACTCAAAACTGTGAAACGCAGGGAGGGGAAGACTGGAAAGTGACACACGTGGTGCCGATGCACGAGAAAGGGGCCAAAAAAGAAGTTACTAGTTACAGATACATTTCACTAACCTGTACATG